TAGCATGAGAATGGAAGAGAGGATAGATATGGAAAGCAGGAAGTGGGAGGTGCATGTCAAAGCAGCAGAAGCTAGGATACAGAGTTTAGAAGAGGAATTGAAAAATCTGAAACAGCCTAAAGAACTAAAGAACATTTTGGGATTGACAACAGAGACTGCTACCTCAGCCACAAATAAGGGACTGTAGGGAAAGAAGGGCACAACTGCATGGAGAAGCTCTATCAGAGGAGACTGTAGCAAATGAAAGAGCTAAGCTGTATGTGGAGGCCCTAACAGACAACAACAGAGCCCAAGGAAAGCCGAGAAGGGAAAATGACAGGCCACTGAGCCCAAGTACATTAGCCAGTGAAACTGATGAAAGGAAAGCTGCAGTGGAGGAAACCAAATTAAATGAGGGGATACACAGGGATATGCAGTGGGAGAATGAAAGAGTGAGGTCAGTCTTTGTGTATGGGCTCCAGGAAGTTGAAGGGGAAACATATGAAGCAAGAAAACAAGGGGAAAAAAAAGCAATTAAAAGCATCATGAAAGCAATAGGAGAAGACGATATGACCCAGCTGGAAAATTTTCGGAGAATAGGGGGGTTTGTATAAAAAAGAACCCGGCCAGTGAGAGTGACCTTCAAGGCAGAAGCGACTCGGACCAGGATCCTGCAGGAGAAAGCACAATTAAGGGACATGACGGCATACAGGAAGGTGTATCTCGACCGCGACAGAACACGAGAAGAAAGGCAGAAACTGAGAGAGATGGTACAAAGGCGAAAGGAGGAAAGAGAGGGGATGGAGAAGACAGACAGGAGATCCCAGACCCAGGAAGAAGATCAAATACAGCCTCCCTCACAACTTCCTATAGAAGCCTCCCAACCAGGTCAACCCCATTGCAACCAAACACTCTAAATCAAAACACCCATGCCACATCCAATGCCCCCACCCACTACATTACAAACTCCACCCCCACAGCAACAACCCATAGTTCCCTACCAGGTCTCCCACTTCCCCAACCCCAATATACCTCCCAGACCACAGTCTTAGAAAAGAAGTTGAAGATGTGGTATACAAATGCAGATGGAATAACAAACAAGTATGAGGAGTGGCACAAAAGAATCAAAGAGACATCCCCAGACATAATAGCACTCACAGAAACAAAACTCACCAGAATAATAACAGATTCAATCTTTCCATCCGGATATCAAATCCTCAGGAAAGACAGAGGGAGGAGAGGGGGAGGAGGAGTTGCACTGCTCATTAAAAACCAGTGGGGTTTTGAGAAAATGGAAGGCATGGATGGCATGGGCAAAAGGGACTACTTAGTAGGAACAATCCAGTCTGAGGGACATAAGGTGATAATTGCAGTAATGTACAACCCACCACAGAACTGCAGGAGGCCAAGAGAAGAATACGATGAGAGCAACAGAGCAATGATCGACACACTAGCCGAGGTGGCCAGGAGAGCACACATGGGGGGAGCAAAGTTACTAGTTATGGGTGATTTCAATCACAAGGAGATTGACTGGGAAAACCTGGAGCCCCATGGGGTCCCAAACATGGAGAGCCAAGATGATGGACGTGGTACTGGAAAACCTCATGCATCAACATGTTAGAGACACTACCAGAGAGAGAGGAGAGGATGAACCAGCAAGGTTGGACCTTGTATTCACCATGAGTAGTTTGGACATCGAGGGTATCATGTATGAAAGGCCCCTGGGAGCTAGTGATCATGTGGTTCTGTGCTTCGACTACATAGTTGAGCTCCAAGTGGAGAGAGTAGCAGGAATAGGCTGGGAAAAACCAAACTACAAAAGGGGGAACTACTCAGGCATAAGGAACTTCCTTCAAGACATTCAGTGGGAGAGGGAACTGACAGGAAAACCAGTACAAGAAATGATGGACTATGTAGCAACAAAATGCAAGGAGGCAGAGGAGAGGTTTGTTCCCAAGGGAAACAGAAATAATGGGAAGAACATAACAAGTCCTTGGTTCACCCAAAGGTGTAGGGAGGCAAAAACTAGGTGTACTAGAGAATGGAAAAGGTACAGAAGACAGAGAACTCAGGAAAATAAAGAAATCAGCCGAAGAGCCAGAAACGAATATGCACAGATAAGAAGGGAGGCTCAGAGACAATATGAAAATTACATAGCATCAAAAGTAAAGACTGACCCGAAGCTGTTGTACAGCCACATCAGGAGGAAAACAACAGTCAAGGACCAGGTAATCAGACTGAGGAAGGGTGATGGGGAATTCACAAGAAACGACCAAGAGGTATGTCAGGAGCTCAACACAAGATTTAAAGAGGTATTTTCAGTGGAAAGCAGTAGGACTCCATGAAATCAGAACAGGGGGGCACACCAGCAAGTGCTGGATGAGGTACATATAACCAAGGAGGAGGTGAAGAAGCTGCTATGCGAACTTAACACCTCAAAGGCGGTGGGACCAGACAACATCTCTCCATGGGTCCTTAAAGAGGGAGCAGAGATATTGTGGTGAGCCATTAAAAAAGATCTTCAACACATCATTTGAAACTGGGCAACTCCCGAGGTATGGAAAATGCAAATGTAGTCCCAATTTTAAAAGGGAGACAGACAGAGGAAACGAACTACAGACCGTATCACAACTGTAAGTATGCCAAGGCCCATGGAAAGACCCATCAGAAGGAGAGTGGGGGCACCTGGAAAGAAACAAGTGTAAATTGACAACCAGCAGGTTTTAGGAAGGAAAATCCGTGTCACAAACTACTAGAGTTTTATGACAAGGTGACAGAATAAGACAAGAAAGAGGGGTGATCGACGCAAAATTTTGACGCAAAAAGGGCCTTCGACACAGTTCCACAAGAGGTTACTGCAAAAGCAGATAAGGCCATATAAAACAGGAAAGGCACTCAAGACAAGAATACCTGACAGGGAGGCAACAACTGTCATGGTACCAACAAGGTGTCAAGTGGCGCCTTGACAACGGGTTCCACAGGTCATCCTAGACCTGTGCTGTCTTGTATATGTAAACACATAACGAAGGGATAGACTCAAAGTTCCTTGTTTCAGATATGCGAAGTTAAGAAAGAATCAAATCGGACGAGATCAGCAGGAACAAAGAGACTGGACAGGCTACAAGCCGTCCACAACTGCTCCTGAATTTAACCCCAAATGCAAAGTCATGAAGATTGGGAAGGGCAAAGAAGACCGCAACACAATATAGTTTAGATGGCCAAAGACTGCAAACCTCACTCAAGGAAAAGATCTGGGGTGAGCATAACACCGAGCATATCTCCTGAGGCGCACATCATCAATAAACTGCTGCAGCAACGGGCGCCGGCAAATCTACGGATAGCGTTCCGATACCTCAGTAAGGATTCGTTTAAGACTCTGTATACCATTTACGTCAGGCCCATACTGAGTATGCAGCACCAGTTTGGAATCCACACCTAGTCAAGCACGTCAAGAAATTAGAGAAAGTGCAAAGGTTTGCAACAAGACTAGTCCCAGAGCTACGGGGATTGCCTACAAGAAAGGTTGAGGAAATCGGCCTGACGACACGGGAGGACAGGAGGGTCAGGGGAGACATGATAACGACATATAAAATACTGCGCGGAATAGACAAGGTGGACAAAGACGGGATGTTCCAGAGAAGGGGCACAGACACAAGAGGTCACAATTGGAAGTTGAAGACTCAGATGAATCAAAGGGATGTTAGGAAGTATTTCTTCAGTCATAGAGTAGTCAGGCCGTGGAATAGCCTAGAAAGTGACGTAGTGGAGGCGGGAACCATACATAGTTTTAAGGCGAGGTATGATAGAGCTCATGGGGCAGGGAGAGAGAGGACCTAGTAGCAATCAGCGAAGAGGCGGGGCCAGGAGCTGTGAATCGACCCCTGCAACCACAAATAGGTGAGTACAAATAGGTGAGTACACACACACACACACACACACACAAACGAATAGTGGATTTACAGTCACATACCTGTTAACTAATGATATTTTAAGCCAGTCGACTACACGAGGGTCAGTAATGTTATAGAAGCCTTCATTTAAATAGTTTTGGATAACTTGTTATACGGGAGATAAGGGTAAATTATAGAGCAGTGCGCAATGCTGCTGGTTTTGCCTGATCTAATTGGGAATTTTCTTCCCGTTTTTATTTGTAAAAAGAAGGAACTCCTTTGCCGTTTTCTTTCATCGCATAGTTTTGGATAATATTTCTTTCCCATACATTGTTAGTTGTTGAGGTGAATACCCAGAATTTTTCTCCCTCATTGCCTTCAGAATATGTTTATTTATTTTTTTTTAGTTGTCCCTCAAGGAAGTTTTCCTGATTTTGGTGAGGGCTCTTGATTTAGGAAAGGATCCCTTTCTCCGTTCCCCGAATTAAACCTGAATCCTTTCCACATCCCACCCCAGGCTGTATAATCCCGGGTTTAGCGCTCCCCTTGATTTAATAATAATTTATGTTTGTTGTTTAGGTTTTTAGTTTATTCCCTAGCATTTTGTAGCAAGTTTTATCAGTGATGTAAATTTTTTCGCCATCAAAACTGATGCCATTTCTAGTTCAACATTGACTGTGTTATTTAGCAAACTTATTAAAGTTCCCTACACAAACTTATATTTTTTTTCAATTGTCTTATATAATAACATACGTGTGAATTACCTGGGATAACCTAATAAAGTAAAAAAAAGTTACTTATTGTTTTGCTGGGTGTCCTTGTTGAGGTCAGTGTCCTCTCAAGGAAGGTTCCTTGATGCTGGTGAGGGGCTCTTGATCTAGGGAATTGGATCTGTGCTCCAGTTCCCTGAATTAAACCTGAATGCCTTCCACATCCCACCACAGGCGCTGTATAATCCTACGGGTTTAGTGCTTCCCCTTTGATAATAATAATGTCAATGTACTCACCTAGTTGTTCTCACCTAATTAAGGTTGCAGGGATCGAGTCCTGCTTTATTTCTGTTGACCCTTGTGTACATAATAGCCTTTAAACTTAATAAACAAACTAATTAACCTTAATGTCATTACCCAGGCATAATACTGTCTGGGAATGACATCTCTCAGGTGCTGCTGGCCATGTTTCTGGGTTATTATGGTAACTTTGGTCACCGTCCAAGGTGGCTGGGTGTTGGTGCACTGTTCACTGCAGCTTCCTGCATCACTGCTGCTCTACCACACTTCTTCTATTGTCCTGGTGAAGATGCTGTTGTTGCAGCTCGCATATGCAACCTCTGGTTGACATCTCCTTGCTCAATAATCTCACTGGCTTCAAAAGTAAGGAGATTCACTATTTAATAAAATAAGGGGCAGTAAGTTTATTTAGGCTAAGGTAGATATAAGTACAGTTATACAAATTTAAGTGACTACATTTATCGTATATAGTAATATGTGTGTGTAAATTACCTAGAATAACCCCTCAAGGAAGGTTCCTTGATGTTGGGAGGGCTCTTGATTAGGGAATTGGATCTTGCTTCCGGTTCCACTGCATTAAAGCCCTGAAAGCCTCCTACATCCTCCCCCACACGCTGCATGATCCTACCAGTTTAAGCGCGTCCCGCCTTTATTATAATAATGACCTTGGATAACCAAAAAAAAAAATACAAGGTGCCTTAATGACCATTGGGTCCCAACCACGCGGTCAGATTAAAATAAAATTCAGAATTTTACGTTCAAAAGGCATATAGAGTATAGAAGTAAGGAAAGTTGCTTTTCATAAATCAATCAAACAATCAAGTTTGTTCTCTTATACGGAATTACAATCGGATTTTACAGATTTTTAATATGTGTGTTTACCTTGTTTTAAATATACTAAATACAAGGGGGCTACTAGGACACCTAGCAAGGCTAGGCATTTCGTGCCGACCTAGATTAATTCTAAACTTTAAATATTACAGAATATGGGGTTATTTAAGCTAAGTGGACCTACAAGGTAGCAAAGGTACCTTGATGCTAGACGATGGGTTCTTGATCGAAGGAATTTCATCTAATTCTTCCTTCCTAGGATAAATGACTGCCATTCCCCTGGGGGGGGAGGTGCTCTATGACCCTGATGGGTCAAGGGCACTGGATTAAGTGCTTCCTCTTGAATATAATGTGACTCTTTCAGGTTGAGCATTTCCCCATGATTATAAAATTAATCAGGAAGATCTACCAATGTTTTAGTCAGTTGCATAAATTTGTACAATGGTTTTAAGTGCACATGCACACTGTAGACGTGCAAGAAAATTTTCTTCAGATTACACTGACTGTATAGTCCTTGTGGCTTAGCGCTTCTTTTTGATTATATAATAATCTTCAGATTACTAACCCAGCAAGGTTTATTAATAGCTCACTAAAGACAAGATGTCTTCAAGAACTGTCTGTCTTATTTCTATTGGGATCCTTGATCCTCTCTCCCCCAGGATGCAACCCATCCAGTCACCTAACATCCAGGCACCTACTTACTGCTAGGTGAACAGAGGCAATTCCTATTAGTGCCAGGGATTGAACCCGGGCCCCTTAGTGTGTGAGCTGAGGCTGCTACAAACCTACCATCATAATGCTATATATGTACTGTATTTATCCCAATAAAGTCAGGGTGACACAAAAATTAATTTAAGGTCCATAGTTATTTTACATGGTTTAACTTAACTTTTGGTGCCTTGACACTGGTAAAAGGTTCTCCATCCATCCTTGACTTATAACTTCCCAAATGATAAATTTCCATACCTACAATTCCAGTATATTTCAGTTTGCAATGAATTTTTGAATTTGCAACTTGTATTTTAGTCAAAGTCTGTAAAATACTAAGTGTTGCACAAAATTAAGGGATCACCACCAATAGCTGCAGTGAAAACAATATAAGTGAGCATACACTAAACACAACTCCACCTGTGGCCGCCTGGTAGACTAGTCTGGCAAAAAAATAGACTCTTAACTTTGTCTGGACTTAAAGAGATACCTTACCATTCTTTGTTGGTAAGTCAGTGTTGTGCCTGTATTTGATGTCTATTGATTTTTTAATAATACACTATAGAATTATAGTATAATGTTAGTTTAATAATGAAAATGGGTTTGAGCCTTGAGCTCCAATCACATAATCTTTTGTATTCTATTATATGATGAATTCTGATAAATGAGACACTTGTGTAACATTTGGGTATCATTATTCATGTTTCACCATACAGTGGCTTCTTCAGTCTAATGCAGAGAAAAGTGGAAGATGAGGAGTGTGAGGTAATCAGTCCCTCAGCCTGGAGTCAATGTGTTCAATTCAATTCAATTCAAGTTTATTCTCTATAATGGTTACAATGTGGGGTTTACAGGTTTTGGGTATTTTGTGGTTTACATGTTATAAAATACTAATTACAGAAGGGGCCACTAGGACACCTAGCATGGCTAGGCATTTCGAGCAGACTTAGATTAATTCTTAACATTAAATCCTTACAGATTAAAGTGAGTTTAGCAATGTGAATACTTTTGTTTTGGCACAATACAAGGTGTCTATATTTGAGTATCATAGGCAAACTTATGACTAGTTAGGATTTATTATTTTAAGATTAAGATTAGTATTTCTGGGCTTATAGTCAGTGGGTGAGTGAGTGTAATTTTGAACCACCAGGTGGTTATCATGTAGTTAGTTGTTGGGGTGGATCAGGGAGATAAGATGTTTTCTAACTGTAGTTTTGAAAGTGATGAATGTGTCTGCAGTTCTAGAGTTTTCAGGTAGGGTGTTCCAGATTTTAGGTCCTTTGAAATATATTGAATTTTTGTAAAGGTTTAGTTGAACACGGGGAATGTCATATAGATGTTTGTGTCTGGTGTTATGCCTGTGGATCCTGTCACAGCTATCAAGAAAGCGTTTTAGGTCAAGGTTAATATTGGAATTTAAGGTCCTGTAGATATAGATTGCACAGTAGTAAGTGTGGATGTTCTGAACAGGGAGTAAGTTTAGATCTATGAAGAGTGGGGGGGTGTGTTGCCAGGGATGGGATTTAGTGATTATTCTTACTGCAGCTTTTTGTTGGGTTATTATTGGCTTTAGGTGTGTTGCTGCAGTTGAACCCCAAGCACAGACAGGATAGGTGAGGTATGGATATATAAGTGAATGGTATAGTGTGAGATGGGCAGTTTGCGGTACGTAGTATCGTATCTTGGAGAGGATCCCCACCGTTTTGGATACTTTTTTTTTGTTATGTGTTGGATATGGGTGCTGAAATTTAGGTTGTTGTTCGGTCCCTCAGTCTTGATGGAAACGTTTCCAGAATAAAGATACTGAAATGTTGCACAAGTGTCTCATTTATCAAATTGCCAGTTTTGTAAACCATTTGTTCACATAACGAATTCTACTTACAATATTTCAACTTAAAGCCCATTTTCTGGAATACATTTTTGCAAGTCTGAAGTATAACTCCTTGAAAACTATTGGAGTGAATGTGAGAGTAATACACCATAGAATAGAATTATTGTTGATCATTTATTTAAAGTAGGCTTAATACACTTTTTGTGACAGCAGAGGAAGAGTTGTGCCATTCCCAGACTGATGGCGTGTGCCAGGAAGATCGAGGCTACTCCTACTTTGGCTCCATACTTCTGCTTTTCATTGCCCAGTTTTTTGTTGGTATTGCCATCAGCATCTTCTTCAGCATTGGTGTCACCTACCTAGATGATAACATCAAAAAGAAGACTTACCCTTTATACTACAGTAAGATTTACTTTAGGCTAACATTGTCACCTGCCTTAGTACATACTGCTGATGTTATTCTTGTATTTTGTGTTAGTTTCAGATTTAATTTACAAATGTTTTAAATTTCTCAAATGACTGGAATAATTGTATTATTATTATTATTATAGTCTTACAGTAGTACATTTTTGAAGCTTTATCTAAGGTTAACCCAAAGAAGTCAAATAAATAGCATGATATATGTTCATTGGAGTAAAAAAAAAAAAAGATCATATTAAAGCACATATTGTACATATATGCTGTCTTAGCTCAGTAAATAATAATACTTGATACTGCAAAAATTTTAACAGTTAAAATTTTTGTAACATCCTCTTTACTCTCAACTTCCCAAAAGGTTTATCTCTTTCCCTTCTACTAGTTGTATACAGCCTCCCCTATACCAACTGTTTTCATTACTCTCCAATACAAGTGTCTTTCTGTGGAGGTTCCTTAATGCTGGTGAAGGGCTCTTGACCAAAGAAATTGGACCTGCTCTTCCCTTCCTTTGCCTAAGCCTAAATGCCTCTCATTTTTCCAAGCACTATGACATCATGAATATAATAATACATATATATATTGCACCATTTCATCTTCTATCTTCAATTGCAGCCTTGACCATGCTCATAAGAATCCTGGGTCCAGTCTTTGGGTTCTTCATAGGAGGAAAATGTCTCTCTATCTGGATTGATCCAACCAAGAGGCCAAACATTGACAAGAAGGATCCTAGGTGGCTGGGTGCCTGGTGGCTCGGTAAGACAGTACCTCTAGTTGTATTTTCTTCGGAAAAACAAGCAAATAAACAAACTGAAAAAAAGCTATAGTGAGAGAGGGGATGAGTAATTATTGCAATATTTTTATTTAAAAGGTATAGAACATAGCTGAACATAATTTTTTTTAATGACATTAGTCATTCCCACTAAAGTAGGGTGACCCTACAGAAGGAAACATTACCATCACCATTCATTCAATACCTGTTTTGCGAGAAGTGTAAAGACATCACATTTCAAATGACCTTCCACACTGTAACATTTTTGCCCCATCCTTCAGAGTGCAAACATTGTATTTTCCCATCTCCAAAACAGAAGTCTGTACATAGCTACGGTGTGCAGTAAGATTGCACGAAACAGGTGATATCTTACTGTGAAATATAACCACTGTGAAAAATTGTAATATTACAAGCTCTTTTGTAATTTCTCACATTAACAGGGATAATCATGTTATCACTGCTCATTGATAATGTGAGAAAACACAAAAGTGCTTGGAGAGGTACACCACAGGATTTCAGATCTGTGTTTGTGATTAACTTAGTTGATTCCTGCATACCAGTCAATGCATGCAATGTTCATATATGCTGCTATGTAAGATAATTTATGTTACTGTATTTATGTGCATGTTTACCTGAATAAACTGACTGACGTGTTCTGCTGGCCAGCCGGCTGGCCTGCTCACTAACTGGCCTGTCTCTGTGTCTTGTCTGTCTCAGAGAGACCCGCTCATGAAATTGATACTCAGCTAAACTTTTGAACATGTTGCAGAATTGTCATGTCTGTACAAGTGGAAAGATACAACTGTGGCCCAAATGTGTATTACTTGCCGTGATAATGCTTGTCTCATATCTACAGGTACAGTATAGCACTTTGTTTTGAGTTATCCTAAGTAAATAAACATAGTCCTTGATTCTGTTCAAGGGATGCCTGTCCTTCAAGAAATATATACCAAGCCAATGTAATTGTTTGAATGACAGAACAGAATCAAGGACTAAGTTTGTTTAGGCACAGGTACACATAAGTACAGTTTCATACAGAGCATAAATTACCTAGGATAACCCCCAAAAAAAAAGTTGGATAAAGTGCTATACTGTACTTCTTGATGAAGCATAAGCATGACTGTGGCAAGTAATATGCATTTCCACTTGTTCAGACGTGACGATTCTGCAGCTTGTGTAATACATGTTCAGCTGGCTAGCTAGGTGGCTAGCTCTAGCTCAGTCTCTGTCTCTCTCTATTATCTCTGTCTGTCTGTATCAGAGAGAGCCACTCATGAATCAGAATCAATAATTAACCCTTTGACTGTCACGGCCGTATATGTACGTCTTACGAGGTACCGTGTTTGACATATATACAGTGGACCCCCGGTTAACGATATGTTCAGGTGCCAGTACTAACCGAATTTGTTCCCATAAGGAATATTGTGAAGTAGATTAGTCCATTTCAGAACCCCAAACATACACGTACAAACGCACTTACATAAATACACTTACATAATTGGTCGCATTCGGAGGTGATCGTTATGCGGGGGTCCACTGTATACTCATAAATTCTAGCGGCTTCAAATCAAGGAGAAAGCTGGTAGGCCCACATGTGAGAAAATGGGTCTGTGTGGTCAGTGTGCACCATATAAAAAAAATCCTGGAGCACGCAGTACATAATGAGAAAAAAAAAACTCCGACCGTTTTTTTTTTAATTAAAATGCCGACTTTGTGATCTATTTTCATATAGTATTTATGGTTGTATTCTCGGTTTCTTGGTCTCATTTGATAGAATGGAAAACATATTATAGAAATAGAGGTGATTTTGACTGATTTTACTTTAAAAAGAACCTGGAAATGGAGCTCAAAGAAGGGGAAATGTTTGATTTTTGCCGATGTTCTGAAAAGTAAAACCAAACGATGTCATTGCCCAAAAATGTCCAACTAGCCATTCTAATATGCAGTCATGAATGGGTTGATGTATTTATACATATTACAGTATTGCAGTAGTCTGCATAATAGTAAATCTCCTATTTTTTGCTTTGAATAAAAATCAAAATAAAAGCAAGAGCAATATCAGATGGGCCTGGAGACATGACTGATGAACAAAGAAAATGTTATATAGAACCAGGAATGTCTGCATGTTTCATTCTGGACCTAATTTTTAAATTGTCGTCTTTTTTTAATTTATCGTGAAATTGGCCAAATTGCAAAATTCTGACCGCCGTTACTGGGTAGTTGAAATTGGTAATGGGCCAGTTTCCTTGTACTCAATCGATAGAAAAAATGGAGTTTTTAAAAGATAAGCTATGAGTTTGGTCGACTGGAACAATGGAATTAGCCGAAATAGGGCTCAAAGTGGGCGAAATCACCGATTTGTAAATATAGCTGCGGTCACTAACTTTGGCGAGAGCGTAATTCCTCAGTTTTCCATCAAATTTCGGTTTTTTTTTTTTGGTGTCATTACAATCGGGAAAAGATTCTCTATCATTCATAAGAATTTTTTTTTTTTTTTTTTTTTGGGGGGGGGGGGGGGGGGGGGGTTTTTTTTTTTTTTTTTTTTTTTTTTTTTTTTTATTTTTTTTAGGAAATTTTGCGACACCAGGAGACACCTCAGGATTGGGGGTTGCGACAGTCAAGGGGTTAAGTATGTATGTATAATACAGTATACAGAATTTTTTAACATTTGTGGGAAGTAATTAATCTAACAAACAGTTCAGTGATCAAGGCCAGATTAAGAAGTCTCCGGGCCCTAGGCTATTCAGATTGGCGGGGCCCCTTTGAGTTACGGGTAAGCGAAGCGACCCCTTCCAGCTTCGGGGTGGGGGGGGTCGGTGTGAGCCTGTTTAAGGTCTAATTAAATACATTCTGGCTATTTAGATTAAATTTAATAGGAAAGTACATCAAGACAACCAAAACCATTTACCAACAGCCATTATAACTATCTTGTTAAATCATGCATTTTAAAGAGAATAAACTCAAGACTGCATAGTATTACTAGATTAGGCATTAAAGTAGTGAATCATGTACCTATTCTATTCAACATAACCACTACAGCACTATATTCCCTGTATAAATCACTGGACCATTATTGTTATCATTGCATCAATGCATAAGACTATCAAATTCAATAAACTCAAGAAAGTTAAAGAATTGTTTATATCGCGACAGGCATTCTTAAATAAACTTTTTTCTGGATTTCATATGGCAAAATCATCAATTATATTCTGAAAATCATATTTCTTGTTAGATTCTTAGCTTGGTCAACAAGGCTTAGGTTACACAATTTTGTCTTGGCTCATTGTTTAAACGGAAGCTGTTTTTCACTCTTTTCAAAACAAAAAGTGACGTTCTCCTTCACATTAGTAGCTGGAGTGTTAGGTAAAGGCTACACTATGTCACATTAAGAGGTTTCTGAGAGAACCTGCAATTTCTTAAATGTTTCAAAGCAGCCTGAGGGCGGCACATTTCAGTGGAGCTTAATCTGATTCATATACCCAGAAAATGAACTATTCTTCAACAAATGTGTCCTGACATCTTGCTGATAGTAGTTGTTGGCAACTTAATCAGCTTCTCTCATTCTGCATCTGGCATAGTAGTAATTTTTGAACAGAAATCCAAACTTGTCATTTGAGATTCTGGTAGATTTCTTTTTTCTTTTTCACCAATCTGTAATCATAGTCGAATCCAGAATGCGAAGTATGTAGCTGTCTACATTTTCTGCCTTGGTACAACACAATTTCATTTGTCTGGCTCTCAAAATTTGCATTTCCTCTTCCTTGACTGCTGATGATCTGCCCGTAACTGTAGTCTTTTCACCAGCAGTTTAGCTTTCCATCTTCAAACATTTCAAAACTGCTTCATCATTGCGAAAGTGAGCTTATCAAATTTCCATTAAGAAGCCTGGCATAGAGGTTAGCACAAGTACCCATTTCAATTTCAATTTCTGAGTGTCTTGTTCGTGGCATTAACCGTCCATTATACAGTCCCAAAGCACACAAGAGTAAGGCCAATTCAAATCTTTCCAATTTTGATGTTAAGCTGGCTGCTTCACTTCTGTAGTTGCTGTCTGTCTTCATCCTCTGCTATTGGATCAAAGCAGAACGTATTTCACCCAAATTGTCTTTCCAAAGCATGTGTTGCATCATGCTGCGCTGGCCACCTTGTTGTTGATAATGTTTTGATGACATCTCCATGAATGGTTGACTTGAGTATACTCCATCCATGGTGAAGCAGAGAAAAAATTAATAGAGTGCTGTAAAAGTCCAAAAATGAAACTGCAGCGAACAAATCCGCAGCACATGACCCAACAAGTTTAAGAAATGTGCTGAGCAGGGCACTATTCAGCAAGTGGGTGATTTCTTGTCGGGCTTGCAATCCTTTATATTTTACCGCTTTACTTGCATTGTCGTAGCTCTGGCCACGCAATCATATAGGAATCATGTTCAAGCAGAGTATCCAGTACTACATTCATCATTGTTCTCCATCAGGGCCCTGAAAGAGGAATGAATTTTATAAAGCTTCTACAGGCTTACCACTGGAGTCGACAAAGCGAAAAAAAGAATGTCAATTGTCTGTATGTGAAATATCTGGTGTTGAATCTAACTTATTTCAAAGTATTTTGCAGTTTTCACAGCTGCTATGTGTTATTGAGGACCTTCTTAGTCATCAGTTCAAAAAATTCATTGCATATAGTAGATGACATGTAAGATACAGTGCCTCTTCCTGCATTCCCAAGGCTGACACATGATTTGCTAAGAATGGATCGAATTGTGCTAACAGTTCTATGTCCCTAGGAATTGTCATTGTTTTCTGAACCAAAAACCTCATTTTCTCCACGGAAAGCAAGTCCTCTTAGAGCTAAGAATTTTACAACAGCAACAACTCTTTCTAGAACTTTTCTCCAATAAGTGCGCTCTTTTTCAGTTTGATTTTCCAAATGAGAATCCATAAGCCTTTTTTTCTGTGCCCCGAAATACACTGGCTAAAATGCAGCTCCTGTGAGTGGTGCTTCCTGTATGATCTGACGTATCTGCAGATTCAGCTGTACTGGTAACATCAGAAACTGTTTTCGTGAGCATGTCTGTGATCTTTCTGCAGCTTCCTACATCTTTCTTTTTCTGTTCTTCTTCTTGAATTTTCTTCTTTCTTTTCTGTGACCCACTCGCATAAGAACGTCCAACATCACGTTCACGAGATGCCATAATGAGGATGTATCACTGTCTGTAATCATGCAAATACAAATTTTTCATTATCAATTATTAATTTTTTATTATTAAATTTTTTTTTCTTTTCAGTTGGGGGGATAGGGCCCCTTTGTAGCCCCTTTCCTCTGGCTGCGCATCAAAAAATTTCAAAACATTACCAGAAAGGAGTCATATACAGAACTTTTACCATAGATTGGATTAGTGATTTGGGCTACGAATATTTACTAATTCATCCTCCTTGATCTCCAAATTTACTTAAACAGAAATCATACTGAGTCCCAAAAACAATGCACAATGGTATTTATTTTCCCATTTTCATAACTAAACTAATCATTATGTTTTGCATGATATATGGCCATAGATAAGGACATGAGAATTAAAGAATGCAGGGACAATTTTCAGTTTCACCCAACCAACGATTTTCTGATGTGGCTTATGTGTTTCTGGGGAAATATGTAGTAAATTAATTGATGTTCTACATCACTTCCGTCATAACTTGAAAACTAAACATTTGCGACGGAAGTGATGTAGAACATCAATCAATTGAGATCTGTTATTGAAATGATGAAGACTTAAAGACAGGACAAAGTGCTTTTAAAACCTACAAACGGAAGTCAGTTTGCGTTTTTAGGTTTTTCTTTATAGTATTTTTACCAAAAATGCGTCTTTAATTTTCCATGCGTCTTTACTGGTCAAGTAACCCTATCAGGTACCTCCCTTAACATTTAGAGGCGAAAACAAACATTTATCCATACACATCAACGTCTATCAACAACACTTCAGTTAATTTGTCACAGTACAAGTCTAGATAACGTGTAATTACTACAGAAAATTGGAGAGGAATCTCCCATACTCACCCATTAGCGGGAAAACACAGCTGTTCTGATGTAAACAAAGGCGTGTTGAGTGTTGCCATCTATGGTTAGGTTTATTTATTTTTATTTTATTTTACTTCATTATTTATTTTTTTTTGATTAATTTTTAAAAATCAATTTTACTCTCCAAACACTTGAACTTTTTAGGTAGGGACCCCTTTGCACTTGCACCATGTGCGCAGTCTTGGATGAGCCCCTGAACCCCTTGGACCGCGGGGTCCCCAAATGCCCGGGGCCCTAGGCAAATGCTTAGTTTGCCTATGCGGTAATCCGGCCCTGTCAGTGATACCTATTTCTCATATCTAGAGAAACGTTTTTCACCCTCCCATTTTTCTGAATGATATGAGGGCCAATTTTCCCACTGATTTCATCTTGTGAAGTCCTGATAGAGGACACCAATATTCTCATCAAAACTATTTTGATTTTCAATAAAACCTGTATATACAAGATTTTTAACATTTATGGGAAGTAATTAATCTAAGAAATAGTTCCATCAGGCCTATTTCCCGTTCAGCATTTTTAGCCTTTATCGGGTGGACTTTCAAAATTCCTTAAATCCACGCCAAGAATTCTATTTTTTATGCTGATTAAAAATATTCCTTAAAAGGTAAAAATACATCATTTCAGCATGACACAAGGCCCTGTTTTCTCTCTGATTTCATTGGCTGTAGTCCTGACAGGTCAAAAATAAGTATATAAATATGCAATAATAATAATAATAATAATAATAATAATAATACATGTTAATAATAATAAATAATTTTTCTGTAATACATGTACAAGGTATACAGGCCTCGCTGACATCAGTCACATACTACTATATAGAAAACCCCTTGTTATACAGAACATTTAAGGCAAATTAGGTCAGTTTTGTCCCCAGGATGCAACCCATACCAGTAAACTAACACCCAGGTACCTATTTTACTCATAGGTGAACAGGGACAGCAGATGTCTTGAAAAAAAACGTCCTAATGCCCCCCCCCAAACCCGGGAATCGACCCCCAGACCCAGAAAGTCGCTGAGTGTCAGCAAAAAATAGGGACACCCAATAATATTGTTGATTTTCTTGTGATGTAACATCATATTAAATCGTTGCTCTTTTTCAGGGTTTGTGTTCCTTGGGCTGGCTTTAGTGGTCACAAGCTTACCACTGTTCTTTTTCCCACGTAAGCTGCCTGCAACACGAAAGAGAAAAAAAAGAAGATGCGAGAAAAGCTGAGAGAGATACGGGGGGATGGAACAGAGATTTCCATTTTTTCCTCTCTTTTTTGGCTAAACAAAGAAAGAAGAAACAAAGCCACTTTAAAAAGTAATTTTTTGGCCTAAAAATTCTAGCCAGTCACATACATTTAGTGACCAGTAAAGAAGAGGGCCCTGGCTGCAAATCAACCCCTGCAACCACAAATAAGTGGCACACACAGCACATGCAAGCAGCCACCACACACACACACAGGGACAGCGAGCAGGCTAGTCACGCCGTCGGTGCTCCGAGATTTAAGTGTTTTTGGGGCTAAAGTGACTGCAGGGTTTAATGTGTCGGGGAGTCAACAATCCTAAAAGTGTTTTTTTTTAATTGCCTGAGTACACAAGTGGGGGAGACCCACAATTTTAAAAGTAAATTGGAAAATAAAACTTTGGGCGCAGGCTAGTGTAAAAGGGGGGCCTTTCCCAAGTGTCACCCAAGTTTTTAAATTAAAGTGAAAAATAGGTACCAGTGAAAGAAAATACATAAAATGGGTACATTATTAACGAGAAGAAATTGAGGGGGATCTACGCAGGACTACATCGAGCTGGATACTCCAGGACGTACATCGACCGGGACAATCTACACTCTACAGCGCAATCAAGTATGTATCACCTTGATGGTTTTTTGGGGTTTGGGGCCGGGTTTCCCAAATTTAAAAAAAACCCCCCAAGCTGAATGGAATGGTCTCCCCTTCATACACGAAAAAGAATAGGCACTCAAGTTTCAAAAAGGTTTAGAAAAATGGTAATCCATTGAAAAAGGCGATTAAGTCACTATAAGCAGGTGATATGGGAACACTGAAAGGGAGTCGGGTCACATAGGTTGTGGACAAAAAGGCAACTGGTCACATTCACTCCAAGCACAAGCCACCAAACTTTTCGACACATAATAACCCCCCCACATAATTTCGAACAAAATTACCCCACACAAAACACCACACCACAACCACACACAACAACACACACACCCTAACCCCCCCACACACACACACACACCACATACACACACCCACAAAACACACAAAAACACACACACACACAAAACACACACACAAACCACACACACAAACACCACACACACACCCCACACACGCCAAAACACACGGTAATGCGGTAAATCCAGGGGTTGGTCAGGTCACAAGAATTTGGGGGCACCCAAGGGACCACTGAATTTAATTTAAAGCACAAGCCCCCCCTTTCAGTAAATAAAAAACCCCCACACATAATTCCCACACCAATTACACAAAAAATTAAAACTCACACACAACACACACACAAACACACACACACACCCACACACACAACCCCAAACACAAAAACCCACACACACACCCACACACACACACACACACACACACACACATATCCAGACACACAACACTCCCCCCTCCCCACCGACATCTCACTATTTCCCCCTGATCCATCACCTCCCCGATCACCCTCCCCCCCCCCATTCACCCAAAACCCTCCCCCCCCCCCCCCCACTCCCCCTCCCAAATACCACAGTTCCTCCACTATTCCCCCCCCCCCCATCTGACCACACACTACAAACCTAACTACAGAACTACATGGTTTTCCCACTTGAGGCAATCAGGATAAAAAAAAAAGGGGGTTGCCAAGAGCAAAAAGAAAAACCAAGGAAAAGGAGGGGGAAAAAATGCAAAGGAAGTTGGGCAGCAGAGCTCAAAAAAGGGAATGAAAAAAGAAACTAAAAGAACTTCATGAGAATGAAGAGGGGATGAATGGAAAGCAGGAAGTGGGAGGTCATGTCAAAACAGAAAAGCTAGGATACAGAGTTAGAAGAGAACTAAAAAAAATCTAAACCATAAAGAACTAAAGAACTTTTTGGGGATTGACACAGAGACTGCTACCTCCCCAAAAATAAGGGGACGGAGGAAAAAAAGGGCAAAACGCATGGAGTGCTCTATCAGGGGAACTGTACAAAATGAAAAGCAAGCTTTTTGGGGAGGCCCTAAAACAACAAACAGAGCCCAAGGAAAGCCGGAAGGGAAAAAAGACAGGCCACTGAGCCCAAATACATTTCCAGTGAAACTGTGAAAGGAAAAACTGCAGTGGGGGAAAACCCAAAAAAAATGAGGGGTACCAGGGATATGCAGTGGGGGGGAAAGAAAGGGTGAGGTCAGTCTTTGTGGGGCTCCAGGAAGTCGAAGGGGGGAAAAATATGAAGCAAAGAAAAAAAGGGGAAAAAAAAAGCAATTGAAAGCACATGAAAGCAAAAGGGAAACGATATGACCCCCCTGGAAAATTTTCGGGGAAAAGGGGGGGTTTGTAAAAAAAAAAACCCGGCCAGTGAAGTGACCTTTAAGGGAGAAGCAACTCGGGCCCGGGAAAAGCAGGAAAAGCACATTAAGGGGGAAAGACGCATACAGGGGGGTGTACTCGCCGCGCAAAACACAAAAGAAAGGAAGAAACTGAGAGAGATGGTACAAAAGGGGAAAGGAGGAAAAAGAGGGGAAGGAGAAAACAGACAGGAGATCCCAGACCCAGGAAAAAGATCTAATAAAAGCCTCCCTCACAACTTTCTATAGAAGCCTCCAACAGGTCAACCCCATGCAAAAACCCAAACATCTAAATCAAAAAACCAGCCAATCCCAAAGCCCCCCCCCCTACATTACAAACTTCACCCCCCCACAACAACCCATAGTTCCTTACCAGGTCTCCCACTTTCCCAAACCCCAAAAACTTCCCAGACTACGTCTTAGAAAAGAATTGAAGGTGGGTATACAAAAGCAGATGGAAAAAACAAAAAGTATGAGGAGGGCCGAAAGAATCAAAGAGACATCCCCCGACAAATAGCACTCACAGAACAAAACTCACCAGAATAAACAAAATTTAATCTTTTTCCCTCGGATACAAATCTTCAGGAAAGACGAGGGGGGGGGGGAGGAGGGTTGCACTGCTCATTAAAAACCAGTGGGGGGTTTTAGAAAATGAAGGAAAGGTGGCATGGCAAAGGGACTACTTTTAGGAAAAAATCCAGTCTAGGGGCAAAGGTGATAATTGCAGTAATGTACAAAACCCACCCAGAACTGCAGGGGGCCAAGAGAAAAATACGATGAGAGCAACAAGCAATGTCAACACACTAGCCGAGGGGGCCCGGAGAGCACACAAAGGGGGAGCAAAGTTTCTAGTTATGGGTGATTTTTAATCACAAGGGGATTGCTGGAAAACCCGGAGCCCCCCTGGGGTTCCCCCCAAACATGGAAGCCCCCCAAGATATGGATGTGGTACTGGAGAACCCCATGCACAAAATGTTAGAGACATACCAGAAGAGAGGGGAAGGGGAACCAGCAAGTTGGGCCTTTATTCCCATGAGTATTCGGACATCGGGGTATCATGTATAAAGGCCCCTGGGGGCTAGTGATCATGTGGGGCTTGCTTCGGGCTACATAGTTGAGCTCAAGTGGAGAGAGTAGCAGGAATAGGCCCGGGGAAAAACCCCAAAATACAAAAGGGGGAAAACTCAGGGATGAGGAATTCCTTTAAGACATTCATGGGAGGGGGAAATGACAGAAAAAAATACAAAAATGATGGACTATGTAGCAACAAAACAAGGAGGGAGAGGGGAGGTTTTTTCCAAGGAAACAGAAAATAATGGAAAAAACAGAACGACCTTGGTTCACCCAAAAGGGGTAGGGAGGCAAAAAAATAGGTGAATAGAGAATGGGAAAAAGGGACAGAAGACAGGAACCAGAAAATAAAAAAATCAGCCGAAGAGCCCAAAACGAAAATGGCAATAAAAAAGGGCTCAGGACAATATGAAAATGACATGCATCAAAAATAAAGACTGACCCGAAGCGTTTTTACAGCCACATCAGGGGAAAACAACAGTCAAGGACCAGGGAATCAGACTAGGAAGGGGATGGGGAATTCACAAGAAACGACCGAGAGGTATGTCAGGGCTCAAACGAGATTTAAAGAAGTATTTACAGGGAAAACCCTAGGACTCCCGGAAAACAGAGCAGGGGGGGGGCAAACCCAATTTCTGGATGAGGGGACATAAACCAAGGAGGAGGTGAAAAAAGTGCTATGGGGAACTTTACACCCCAAAGGGGGTGGGGCCAGACAACATCTTCCCCTGGGGCCTTAAAGAGGGAGCAGAGATATTGTTTTGTACCATTAACAAAAACCCTTTAACACATCATAAAAACTGGGCAACTCCCCGAGGTATGGAAGATGGCAAAAGTAGTCCCCAATTTTTAAAAAAGGGGGAAAAGACATAGGCACCCCAAACTACAAAAAAGTTTTCACTAAGTGTATAGTATGCAAAGGGCATAGAGAAAACATCGGAGGAGAGTGATGGAGCACCTGGAAAGAAAAAGTGTATAATTGGGCAGCCCCGCAGGTTTAGGGAAGGGAAAAATCCCGTGTAAAAAAAACTAATTGAGTTTTTTTGACAAGGTGACAAAGTTTAAAACAAAGAGAGAGAGGGGTGGTTTGACTGCATTTTTTTGGACCCGCAAGAAGGGCCCCGGGGCACGTTCCCCACAAGAGGTTTACTGCAAAAGCTAGAGGATCAACACAAATAACAGGAAAAAGGGACTGCAAAAGGATCAGAGAATACCTCACAGGGGGGCACAGCGAGGGGGAAAGGTACGTGACCCAGGTGTCGAGTGGGCTCCTGTGACAAGCCCGGGGGGCCACAGGGGGCAGTCCTAGGGGCCTGTGTGGTTTTTGGTATATGTGAAAAGACAAAGGGAAGGGGTTTGACTCAAAAGTGTCCCTTTTTTTGGGGTATGTGGGGAAATTAATGAGAAAAAAAACAAAAACGGATGAGGATAAAGGGAGGACTAAAAAAGAGACCTGGGGAAAGGGTACAACCTGGTCCCGCAAATGGCCCCCTTTAGTTTAAAAACCCCCCCCCAAAAGCAAAGTCATGAAAATTGGGGGAAAGGGCCCAAAAAAAACCGCGACAAAAAAATTGTTTAGATGGCCAAAATCTGCAAACCCACTCAAGGGAAAAAAATCGGGGGTTTAAGGGATAACACCGGCATATTCCTGAGGCGCACATAAATCAGATAACGTGCGCATAAGGGCGCCGGCAAACCTACGGATAGGGGTTCCGATAAACCTCAGTAAGGATTCGTTCAAGACTCGTATACCATTTACGTCAGGGCCCTTACTGGAGAAGCAGCACAGTTTGGAATCCACACCTAGTCAAGCACGTAAAGAAATTAGAGAAAGTGCATGTTTGCAACAAGACTGGGTCCCAGAGCTACAGGGATTGCCACAAAGAAAGGTTGGGGGAAATCGGCCGACGACACTGAGGCCAGAGGGTCAGGGAGACATGATAACGACATTAAATTTACTGCCGGAATAGACGAGTGGGACAAAAGGCACAAGAAGGGAAAACAGGCCCCAAGAGGTCCAAAATTGGAGTTGAAGACTCAGATGAATAAAAGGGATTTAGAAGTATTTCTTCAGTCATAGAGTAGTCAAGCCGTGGAATAGCCTAGAAAGTGAAGTAGTGGAGGCGGGAACCATACATAGTTTTAAGGCGAGGTATGATAAAGCTCATGGAGCAGGGAGAGAGAGGACCTAGTAGCAATCAGTGAAGAGGCGGGGCCAGGAGCTGTGACTCGACCCCTGCAACCACAATTAGGTGAGTACATGTACATGCACACATGCATATTTACACATATGCATGCACACCAATTCAAATATTCTACCACTGTAAATAAATATTTTCTATTATTTCAGCAGCAATTATTTTTTTTTAGTTTACAGTTATAATGTTTATATTGTGTATATAGTGTTTATATAACTAGGTAATAGGTTGGTACACAGCAACTGCCCAAGGAGGTACTACCATCCTGCCAAGTGAGTGTAAAATGGAAACCTGTAATTGTTTTACCTGATGGTAGGATTGCTGGTGTCTCTTTTTTGTCTCATAAACAATCAGGATTTCAGGTACGTCTTGCTACTTCAAACTTACACATTAGGTCACGCTACACATGCATGTACAAGCATATACTGTATATACACACCCCTCTGGGTTTTCTTCTATTTTCTTACTAGTCCTTGCTCTTGTTTATTTCATCTATCTCCATGGGGAAGTGGAATAGAATTCTCACTCCGTAAGCCATGTGTGTTATAAGAGGTGACTAACATGTCAGGAGCAGGGCGCCTCGTAACCCCTTCTCCTGTATACATTACTAAAGTTAAAAAGAGAAACACTTGTTTTTATTTGTGGGCCACCCTGCCTCGGTGGGGTATGGCCGGTTTGTTGAAAGAAAGTAGAAACAATATTTATGTGATTAAACTGAGGGTTATTTTATTTATATTTGAAAGAAATGTGTGGCTTGTGAAAGTTTACTCACTTTGATTTTGGATCAAAGTAGAATGACATGGAAAGCATATAAATCTATAGGGGAGGGAAAGAGGGGTAGGGGTCGTCCTCGAAAGGGTTGGAAAGAGGGGGTAAAGGAGGTTTTGTGGGTGAGGGGCTTGGACTTCCAGCAAGCGTGCATGAGCGTGTTAGATAGGAGTGAATGGAGACGAATGATACTTGGGACCTGACGATCTGTTGGAGTGTGAGCAGGGTAATATTTAGTGAAGGGATTCAGGGAAACCGTTATTTTCATATAGTCGGACTTGAGTCCTGGAAATGGGAAGTACAATGCCTGCACTTTAAAGGAGGGGTTTGGGATATTGGCAGTTTGGAGGGATATGTTGTGTATCTCTATACATATATGCTTCTAAACTGTTATATTCTGAGCACCTCTGCAAAAGCAGTGATAATGTGTGAGTGTGGTGAAAGTGTTGAATGATGATGAAAGTATTTTCTTTTTGGGGATTTTCTTTCTTTTTGGGTCACCCTGCCTCGGTGGGAGACGGCCGACTTGTTAAAAAAAAAAAAAAAAAAAAAAAAATTACTATAAATATGTTTTTAGGTCAAAAACTTAAGCATTTCTTGACATTCTTTGGTATAGAGTGTTCGACAGTTATTAATGGCTATATCATATATTCCATAGCATTTTCATTAGATGTTTTGTGTATTATTTTATTACTTGTAGACCTGATCATTGCCTTGAAGAGACTCTTCAAGAACAAGATCTGGACTGGGAACCTCTTCAGTGCCACTGTCTCACTTCTTGCTCTCTCCGGTTATTGGAGCTTTAAACCAAAGTACTTGGAGAATCAGTTCCGAAAAAGTGCCACTGAGGCCAATTTTTACACAGGTATTTTCTTATATATTTTACTCATGTTTAGTACAGTATATGCTGAAATATACCACTGTACAGTAGGCATCATAAACATGCATGCCAATAAGTATGTTTTTAGCAGATTGTTTGCCTGTTAGGTTCAACAAGTACCAGGGCAACTTTTGTATGGAAGATGATGGATAAATTATTGTGATTTTTTTTTTTCAGATTTTAATGACTGGCCTGGAAACTCACTGAACTTAAATCTGATAGAGAATGTCTGCAAACTTATTAAGCATAAATGTCATGACCTAGACATATCCTCTAATCCCAAAATCTTGAGTGCCATTAAGCAGGTGTGGGAGGATACTGACTTTTCTGTCCTCCATAAATTAGCACTGTCAGTGCCTAAGAGACTTACAGAGAGCATCAAGAGGAAGGGTAATCCTACAAAATGCTAGTTTAGGTGAAGAACACTTACATATTTCAGTATTATATATTTAAAATGATAGATTATGGTGAGCAGTCTCATTTTCTGCATGATCTGTTTATATGCATATTTATGATGCCTACTGTTAGTTTATCTAATTGTAATTGCCTATTTAAAGCTACATGGGCAAAGCTCCTGGTGTCCTGTCTTCAGTATAACTATAATTTTTTAAGGTTTTTCAATGGTTACAGTATTCATTACTTCCTCTTGTAGCCCATTCCATTAATCTAGCACTTTTTTTTGTGAAGAAAAGCTTTTTAGTAGCTCTTTTTTTCTGAATTAGTAGTTATGACTTCTTGTTCTGCCAGTTACTGGGGTTAGGAAGTCTTCCTTGCTAATCCCACTGCATTCTTTTATAATTTTGAAGGCTGTTATCGTGTCTCCTCTTTTCCTTCTGTCAGCCAAGGATGACATATCTAATGCTTTTAGCATCTCTTTTCACATCCATATTTTATGGGTCTAGGAACCATTTTATAGCTCCTGTTTAGACTTTTTCTAGCTAGCTAACCTGTTTTTTAGGGTCAGACTTCATTCTACCATGTTTTAAATTTTTCTAACATTTCTTGTGAACAGCTTTTTGTTTGTGATTTTCCTGTGGTAATCTTTTATCAGTAGTAATTCCTATTGATACTGTGTTTGGAGAAGATAGTATATTAATATTATATCTTTATAAAGAAGCTTTTATGCATTCTTTAACCCTTTAATTGTCAAGACCCCTGCTTGCTTACTGACTCTTAGTGTTGAATTTAAAAAAAAAAAAAAAAAAATTATGAAATGATAGAGAATCTTTTCCCAATGGTGATAAAGCCAAAAGTATGAAGTTTGATGGAAAACTTATACAATTACACTTTTGCGAAGTTAGTGGTCTCGGCGACATTTATACATCAGTGATTTCGCCCACTTTGAGCCCTATTTTTGGCCAATTGAGTACAAGAAACTGCCCATTTGCCTATTTCAACTACCCAATAAAGTGATCAGAAATTGGTAATTTGGCCAATTTCATAAAAAATTCAAGGACCGCCAGTTTCAAAATAGGATCCAGAATTAACAATGCAGACATTCCTAGCACTAAAATAACATTTTCTCTGTTCATTAGTCACATCTCCAGGCCCCTCTTATATTATACTTGATTTCCATTTTGAATTTTTATTCACAAAAAATAGAAGATTTACTGTTATGCAGACTATTGCAGTATTGAAAAAATGGTATAAATAATATCAGCACATTTGTGAAAGCATATTAGACCCACCAGTTGACGTGTATTAGACCCCTGACGTGATTTCTTTACTCTTGAGCTCAATTTCAAGGTACATTTAGTCTGTAAACCATTCAAAATCATCTCTATTTCTGTAATATATCTTCCATTCTATCAAATGAGACCAAGAAAATGAGAATACAACCATAATGCTATACAAAAATACACCACAAAGTCGCTGTTTTAAACTAAAAACAAGATCGCAGTTTTTTTTTCTCATGCACTGCGTGCTGCAGGATTTTTTTTTATACTGCACACACTCAGACCCATTCTCTCATTTGTAGGCCTACTAGCTATCTCCCGCAAGATTGGAAACAGCTAGAATTTTGGCCTTCTATTGCAGGACCAACACAGGCTAGCAAGCCGTAATATTACAAGACTGACAGTGAAAAGGTTAAATAGATTTTCTCTTCTGTCAATAAATTTTCCTGATATATTTTTCATTTAAGTGTTATGTATGATGAAGTTGCTTGTAGGACTTTCTTTGTGTAGATTTATTTTTAAATTTAGCATAAAAGATGACAGAATGCAGTGATTATTTAATTCCTTTGCTGTACAGTTTTACTAAGTCTCCTGAAATGTTCCTTATTCTTACAGGCTTAGCAAGTCTGGTGGTATCTGTGGTCGGTGCAGTCATTAGTGGGTCAGTACTGAGGTGGTTCAGGCCTGGACCAAGGTACGTCACAGGATACAATGTTTTTGTCACAGTCTTCACCTGCGTGGGCTTCTTGGCTCTCATGTTTGTTGGCTGCCCGAAACTTGATGTTATTGGTCCAGTGAATGGGTGAGTCCAATAGATGCCTTTAACATTACAGTGATTTCTCCAGTTCACGCTAGTTCATGCTCAGAAGCACCTAAATTATAAACAAATTCTGGAAAATGGTAATTGTAAATTTTTCATATTTAAAGATTTTAAGTTAGAGAGAAACTGTAAATTTCATTTTGAAATTTTTGCTCCTGTTTGAGTGAGGCAAGTGTGTAGGTATGTAGTGGCCATCATCTTTTGATACAACACTAGTTACATATTGAAAACCAACCATATAGTGTTTTAAAAAATACAGTAGTCTCAGTGAATTTGCCATGCCCAGTTCTCATTTATGTTAATTATTTTGCCATATAAATTTTACTATTGACACTATTAAAGCAATTTTCTTTAGCTACATTAGCTAGATCTACTAATTTAGGGTAACACAAAGAAGGAAGAACATTTACCATTACTTATTTAATAGCTGTCTTGCCAGAAGTGCATGAGCATCACCATTCAGTTGACTGTATTGAAGGAAATATGGCTTCCTGCCATAAATTTTTTTTCTGAAAATAGCTTCATTGGAGTTTGTCGACCTCTGATACTTGTAATTGTATGCACTTTTTATCAGATTTAAACCTGTTTGTGTTATAAAACATAATTAAGGAAAAGCAGCCTTTGCTGTCATGAACATGTTTCACAATGCTTCGCTTATTATCATATCACAGAATATTAACTGGCATTCCAAGCAACAAATTGTTGTGAAACTACTGGAAGAAGTATGAGAACAGTTGAGACACAGTCAGTAATTAATTTGCAACCAAATCAGTATTTGAATTTTTGCTCTTCAGTAAATTTTGTGGATAGTTTTAAATTTTAAATTTGACATTCATTTTTGGGAAAATTTCATATTTGGCAGATATAAATAAACAATATATTACTCTTGTAGCTTTGAAGATATAATATTTTAAAAG